CCCCCCCCCGTTTTTTCTTGAAGCCATCCTGCCTATGTTTCTAGTTGTCTCTTCCCTCTTTGCTTTCTTGATAATTCTTTCTGTCTGCTGGATATATTCTCCCAGCTTTACAGAGTAATTTTTTTTTTTTTTTTGGACACAGAGTCTCGCTCTTTCACTCTGTTGCCCAGGCTGGAGTGCAGTAGCGCGATCTCGGCTCACCGCAACCTCCGCCTCCCGGGTTCAAGCGATTCTTCCACCTCAGCCTCCTGAGTACAGGCACGCGCCACCATGCCTGGCTAATTTTTGTATTTTTAGTAGAGACAGGGTTTCACCGTGTTGGTCAGGCTCGTCTCGAACTCCTGAGCTCCGGTGATCCACCCGCTTTGGCCTCCCAAAGTGCTGGGATTACAGGCATGAGCCACCGCACCTCCAGAGTAATTTCTCTCTGCATTGATATTTCTCTGCCTTTTCCCGTCACTGTCAATCTGCTGCCGCTGCATCTCATCCTTAGGGGCCTTCCTTGCCACCCAGCTCTCTTTTTCCCATCCTTCCCCCATGTTCAAAGCCGATATTTGAGCATCAGTCCACACAGGCCTTGTAGATGTTGGAAGGACGTTTGTCCCACTCGTTTTCAAGCTGTTTCTTCTTCTAAAAAAATTGTTTCCACCTCAATTTATTCCAGATTGCATGACTGTACTAAGAAACCAAGACTCAACTTACAAGAAGGCGGCTTTGCAGGAGGAACCAGCCAGTGGTTCAAAGATGATAAAGCTTATCAGAGAAGACAGGGGATGGAAGCAATTAGAAGAGAGCCGTGAAGACCCCCGGGGACTTCTGAGCCAAAAGCCATCCCTCCACGTAGTGGCCATGCCTCAGGAGAAGGCTACTGCATGGCACGGATTTGGGGAAAATGGTAATCTGAGCCCAGCCCTTGTTTCATCACAGGGAAGCTCTAGAGGGAATCACTTGTGTGGCAGTGAGCTAGATACTACAAGCTTGGCATCCGATTCCATCTTAAACCACCATCAGGTGGGATACGCCGATCGGAGACCCTGTGAAAGTAATGAATGCGGAAATGCCATCAGCCAGAACAGTCACTTTATTCCACACGCAGGGAAAATGTTTGTGTATTTGGAAAACGGGCAGTCACTGAACCACGGGATGGCCCTGACCGTCCACAACAAAATCAACACGGCAGAGAAACCCTTTGAGTGCCAGCAGTGTGGGAAGGTGTTCAACCGGAGGCATTCTTTGAGCGAACATCAAAGAATTCACACGGGAGAGAAACCCTACGAGTGTCAGGAGTGTGGGCGAGCCTTTACGCACAGCTCCACCCTCACGCGCCATCTGAGGACTCATACTGGAGAGAAGCCCTACGCGTGCGGCGAGTGCGGGAAAGCCTTCAACAGGATCTCATCTCTGACTCAGCATCAGAGGATTCACACGGGGGAAAAGCCCTATAAATGTGAAGACTGTGGGAAATCCTTCTGCCAGAGTTCCTACCTGATCTTGCACAGGAGGACGCACACCGGAGAGAAGCCCTACGAATGCAGTGAATGTGGAAAGGCCTTTAGCGACCGCTCCTCTCTCAACCAGCACGAGCGGACTCACACGGGCGAGAACCCCTATGAATGTAAGCAGTGTGGGAGAGCCTTCAGCCAGAGGTCTTCCCTGGTGAGGCACGAGAGAACTCACACTGGAGAGAAACCCTACAGGTGTCAGGAATGTGGAAAAGCCTTCAGCCAGAGCTCGTCCCTTGTCACACATCAGAAAACTCACAGCAGCCAGAAAACCTACAAAATCATTGACTGTGGGAAAGCGTTCTACCAGAACAGACATCTCATTGGATGTTAGCGATTGCATGCTGCTTTGTGAACCCCTTTTTAGTACTCTGACACATACCTGTGGTTATACTTTGCCCTGGTGGGATGGATAATTTGAAAAGCAGTGGGTTTATGTCACCTTCTCACCTTCTTGGAAGAAAGCTCTGAGAATGGGCCTTTTTGTGTTTTGTTGTTGTGTTTTTGAGATGGGGTCTGCCACCCAGGCTGGAGTGCAGTGGCGTGGTCATACCTCACCGTAGCTTCAACTTCCTAGGCTCAAGTAATCCTCCCACCCCAGCCTTCCAGGTAGCTGGGACTACAGGCGTGCAACACCATGCCCAGCAAATTTTTAAATTTATTATGGAGTTGGGGTCTTGCTACATTGCCAAGACTGGTCTTTAATTCCCGGGGTCAAGCACTTCTCCTGTCTTGGCCTCCCAAAGTGCTGAGATTAGAAGCATGAGCCACTGTACCCAGCCTGACGGGGCCTTTTAATAGGAGGAGTTGCCATTGCAATATGCCAGTGAGCTCCAGACTTTTGGAAAAGATTGGTGGATGGGAGTGCTATCGTGGATGGGATCTTGCCAAGACCCATCACATGTTTAGTTGCTTAAACAAAAGGTATTCTGTTTCTTTCTTTTTTTTTTTTTTTTTTTTGACACGGAGTTTCGCTATTGTTGCCCAGGCTGGGGTGCAATGGTGCAATCTTGGCTCACCACAACCTCTGCCTCCCGGGTTGAAGCAATTCTCCTGCCTCAGCCTCCCAAGTAGCTGTGATTACAGGCGTATGCCACCACACCCAGCTAATTTTGTACTTTTAGTAGTGATGGGGTTTCTCCATGTTCACCAGGCTGGTCTCGAACTCCCGACCTCAGGTGATCTGCTCAGCTCGGCCTCCCAAAGTGCTGGGATTACAGGCGTGAGCCACCGCGTCCGGCCCCGATAGTCTGTTTCTTAAGTACTTCTGTGTCTGTCTTTTTTATTTCATTGTCCATTGATTTTATTTCAATATTCTTTTCTCGGTTTATTTGAGACGGGTTTTCACTCTGTTGCTGAGGCTCAAGTGCTGTGGTGTGATCATAGCTCCCTGCAGCCAGCCTTCATCTCCTGGACTCAAGAAATCCTCCCACTTCAGCCTCTCAAGTAGCTGGAACTACAGATGCGCACCACGACCACACCCAGCTAAATTTTTTTTTGTATTTTGTGTAGCAGTGCACTTTCACCAGGTGGCCCAGGCTGATCTCGAACTCCTAAGCTCAAGAAGTGCTCCCACCTTGGCCTCCCAAAGTGCTGGGATTACGGGTGTGAGCCACAGTGCTTGTGTTTATTTCAGCATTCTGTTTCAGTGTTTACATTGGTCACTTAGCTAGATCCGTCTGTCTTGTGCACTACTGTGCCGATGCAGAGTATATGCTGACAGAAAGTGCTTTGGATGTGAAGTTTAAAAGATATAAGGGGTTCAAAATAGTACTAATCATTTGATCCATACACAAAAGGACAAAGGCTGGACAGAGATGTGAAGAATCATTTACATGATTATTGGGGTGTTCTGATTATGTGTGATTTTGCATCTTTTTTTTTTTTTTTTTTTGAGACAGTTTCACTGTTGTTGCCCAGGCTGGAGTACAATGGCGTGATCTCAGCTCACCGCAACCTCTGTCTCCCGGGTTCAAGCAGTTCTTCTACCTCAGCCTCCCAAGTAGCTGGGATTACAGGCATGCACCACCACGTCCGGCTAAATTTTTGTATTTTAGTAGAGACGGGGTTTCTCCTGTTGGTCAGGCTGGTCTGGAACTCCCGACCTCAGGTGATCTGCCTGCCTCGGCCTCCCAAAGTGCTGGGATTACAGGCGTGAGCCTCCACTCCCTTCTAGTGATTTTATCTTTTGCCATTTCATTTTGTATTGCTATAATCATTTTGATAATGAATAAAAACCAAATAGCACCCAAAATTGTTAAGGATACGGAACCTCATTGATGAGTCCGGGTAGACTGTGGATAGCTACGTAGTAGGGACACAGTATAGTAGACTTTGGGACATAGAGGGCGGAATGACCTTTGGTGGCCTGGGAAAAGTCCCACTTGTGGCTTATCCCTAGCAAAATCAAGACCAAGAGTGCTGATGTGCATTATCGTCATGAACATGTATTGGATGCTTACTGTATACCAAGCACCAGCCAAGTACTTCCATGTGGTTTTCATTTAGCCCTCATGAGCCGGTGAGATAATCACTATTCACATTCCATTTTACAGAAGACAAAATTTGCTCAAGGTCACACAATTAGAAAGTAGTGGAATTGGCTGGACAGGATTGCTCAGGCCTGTAATCCCACCACTTTGGGAGGCTGAGTCGGGTGGATCACTTGAGGTCAAGAGTTGGAGACCAGCCTGGCCCACATGGTGAAACCCCATCTCTACCAAAAAGTACAAAAATTAGGGAGGCCAAGATGGGTGGATCACCTGAGGTCGGGAGTTTGAGACCAGCCTGACCAACATGGAGAAACCCCGTCACTACTAAAAATGCAAAGTTAGCTGGGCGTGGTGGCCCATGCCTGTAATCCCAGCTACTTGGGAGGCTGAGGCAGGAGAATCGCTTGAACCTGGGAGGCGGAGGTTGCTGTGAGCCGAGATAGCACCATTGCACTGCAGGTCTGGGCAACAAGAGCAAAACTCTGTTTAAAAAAATAAAAATAAAAAAAAAATTAGCTGGGCGTGGTGGTGCATGCCTCTAGGCCCAGCTATTCAGGAGGCTGTGGCATGAGAACAGCTTGAACCCAGGAGGTGGAGGTTGCCATGAGCCGAGATGGCGCCATTGCGCTCCAGCTTGGGTGATGGTGAGACTTTATCGCAAAGAGAAAAAAAAAAAGTGGTGGCCTCTGGATTTGGCCTTGAGCACCCTGTACAAAGCCAGCTCCTCATTTGCCAGGCCACCAAGCAGGGGAACTGTTCTCCACATTTTCTCTTGGTAAACTGGGTGTAGTGGCTCACAGCTGTAATCTCAGTATTTTGGGAGCCTGAGGTGGGAGGATCACTTGAGCCCAGGTGTTCAAAACCAGCCCGGGCAACATAGACCCTGTCTATGTATAAAATACAAACATTAGCCAGGCATGGTGGCTCACGCCTGTGATCCCAGCTACTGTGGGGGCTGAGGTGGAAGGACTGCTTGAGCCCAGGAGGCCAAGGCTGCAGTGAGCTGTGAGTGCACCACTGCACTGCAGCCTGACGGATAGAGCAAGACCCTGTCTCAAAACAAATGTACAAATTTCCTCTTTGGAGTCATCTAACTTTCCTGTGAATCTTCCCTTTTTCCTTGAGCTAATGAGGGAGGTTGCCCGTCAGATCTCCTTTCACCCAAATGGAACATGTTGCTTCTCCTTAGAGATCCTTGATCCACGGTTAGTCTAGACCCTGTTGGGTTGATGAGTAAGTTTCTTTAGGGGCTCCGAACAACTTCGAACTGGATGCAAAGCGTGTGCTGGTGCATTGATGTGTATTTTGGGGAAAGCATCTGTAGCTTTCAGCATATTCTTTTTTTTTTTTTTTTGAGACGGAATCTCGCTCTGTCGCCC